CAGATCGTCTACCGGCGGACCCGGCGAAGAAAGTTGCTGACCTTGACTGTATCAACAGTTATATCCTTGACTGGAGTAAAACGCCGCACACGGCGTCACCTAGTCCAAGAGAGGTCACACCTGCCGCTGAAAGAACATACTGGGAACGAATCTCAGATATGTGGCAGGACATGAACAATAACAGGGATATTGATATCCGTCTGTTTGTCTCAGTCAAGCAGTACTATTCAACTTTTTCTAACCTTGACCTATGGTTGAGTCCCTCTGACAAAGATTGGCACAGCCCTTTGGGCTTCACGATACAACCAATCCTTACAAAAGGGAAACACAACCGGTCAGATGCCCAGGTCCAGAAGATCGCTGACAAGCGAAAGGCTTACAAGCAGCGTAATGCTGAATACTGGGGTTACAACGATTCATTCGTTTACTCATCCGGCAACAGCTGGTACGACAAATCGCAACCATCAGGTAGCCATCACAGATACGGAAGATTCTGGGAGTGGCCACAGCCTGAACGTCCCAGCGAGCCTGAAGGTCCTCCTCCAAGAAGGAACCAGGAATCATCGTCCTCTTCACAACAAGATCTACCAAGATCAAGGTCCAGGCCTCAAAGAACCAATATTGTTGACAAGCTCAACATGTCTTTGGAAGAGCTGGATGGACTAGAAGAAGAACCGTCACCAACAAAAAGTGACATCGAAGAACACGAAAGAGAAACATCAAACTTGATGTCTGCTCAGAGAGATGAAGAGGAACAAGAGGACGAATCCTCCAGCCGGAGGAGAAGAAGGAAGGCATCGCGTCCACCGTCTGCTCCGAGCGGCAAGGCACTCAGAACAGCTGCAACAGCAGCGGGGTTGTCGGGCTGGTTCGGACACCGCAACCGAGGTGGAGCAAACGCAGAGTCTACCAAGACTGATGAAACTTCACTTCCAGACTCACTAACCAGTGAGCAAGACTTCTCCGTCTTCAGCATCACGTGGAATGTGTTCCTGCTGCTAATGGGCTTACACTGGATGTGGAAGCAGATCACCAGGCCTCCTATCAGATGTATGGAGCGCCAACAACCAAAATCAAGAGCAGCAGCGAACCAAAGAGTTCCATTCCTCGAACCCGAGGATGAACCGCAGACGCGTGAACCTTTAGGACCCAACAGGGTCAATTTCGGAGAAACAACTGATCTGCGACCTATCTGGCATACTTCCCGAAGCGAAGTTTACCATCTCTCAGACAGCTGTTACCAGCTTAAGCAAGCAAGAGATGTTTGCAAGAAGGTGCTGTGCAAAAATTGCCTCCATGCAGTACAAGTTGCGGAGATTCGCAGGAATGATCCTTTCCAAAGAGGTGATACACGACCACGTGGCACCGAAAGAGATATTGAGCGCTTCCAGACCTACGATGATGCAAGTAACACTCCTCACATGACACAATTATTCCAGGATGCCTTGCATGCACAAATGGCCGAGGAAGCCATGCAGATTACCTATACATCGATCCCTAAGGGATCCTCGGCAAAGGCCAGAGGTACATCTGCACTCCCAAGTGCCGCATCGTCATCAGCGCCCAAGGCAATGCCACCAGGGCCTAACAAGGCAAACATATCACCTCCACCTAAGAGTCCTCCGCCAAAGGCGAAAGGAACAGTACCTTCTGATCCTCCAAGACCAAAAGGTCCTACCAGAAGAGGAGGTCAAAATCGGCGTATTCAACGAAAGGCAGCTAGAGAAGCCCACAACAGTGGACTCTGCACCTATGCAGACGCTGCACTTGACGAAGCCAATCAAGGCCAGGCAATTAACGTTACGTGCCGAAACATAGTATCAAGACACGTCAGCTCTATCGATGCAACGGTAGAAGCAGCCGGCCAGTTTACACAACGCGTGCTACAGCACGTAGAAACATATGATGAAGAGGAACCGTGGAGCACGGAGTTCCTACCAATCGTGGAAGTCCTATTCAGGAACTTAAGCGGCGACGAAACAACTGTCATACATGACAATCAAACGGTAACTATGCCTCTTGCGAAATACACAGACCTCCTCAGAATCGCACAAGCATTGCGAGGCTCTATCCAGAGAGACAAGGAGGAAAGAAAGGAACATCTTGACACCATCCAAGATACTCTATCCAGAGTGGAAATCCTTCTAACAGCACTGAAGGACTCAAGGACAGTCTTTAACCAATTGGTCCATTCCTCACTAGAGATAGAGCGAAGAAATAACAATCTCAAAAATGTCCTCGAGACACTTTTTGATGACCAAAGTTCTGAGGAAGACCAATCAGAATCTGACAATGAAGAAGTCCTAACTCCTTCTGCACCACAGTACTGGAATAGCCTTTATGCCCACGCCTTATCTCCTTCAGGAGATGAAAGCGAAAGATCATGGGCGTCCTCAGACGGACAGCTTGAAAGAAGAAGGGCTGAACGGGCAAAGGCTAAGCAGCCGCAACCGGCAAAAGCCAAGGCAACTCCAGTCAGCTCACAAGCTGCTCCAAAGGCCGAGCCAAAGGCGACAACATCCAACCATGGATATGATACTGCAGATGCCGCCTTCACCAGGGCTGAGAACAGATTACTCGGAATCTTTTCAAGTTCCGAAGAAGATCACTCAGACCCGGATGAGCCACATCCGAACGTCTATGCTCGAGCCTATGATCCAAACCTGGATCCGAATCTGAGATAAGAAAATTCTCAGAGTTTCACAATAGTGAATCACAAGGCTCTAACAAGAGCACAATGAAGGGCTGCATAATTCGGTAGTAGAACATCACCAGACCTGATCTTGTACAGATGATCTCTCTGACAAATATGCATGAGTGTGTGTGCAAAATGAGTGGAGTGTCCTCAGCAGTGTACTTCAGTGCTATACCTAGCATACATAATATGCTGTTTTTATAATGAGTCCAAAACTCCGCAACTGTGACAGTGGGCATAACAGTATATGTGTGAATGTGCGGCCATGCTTCGGTAAAAGAAAATTAGTGTCTGTTTGAAACCATAAACCTCTAAAGGGGTAGCTCTAACAGGTACCTACAGCAATGGCTGCATGCTCATACATATACATTCCGCTGCCCATGGCTCACAGTGGTTTTACCATATTGAGACAAGACAAGCTCTCCTTGCGTAGCAAGACAAAACAACTACTGTCCGTGTGCAGGGCGCTGCCTTTGATCCTTAGGGAATAAACTGGTCATACACCTCCTTACAAGGAGTATCCTTGGGGGTGATCGGCAAGGGGGAGGGGGGGAGGGGGGGGGGGGGGGGAGGGGGGGGAGGGGAAGGAGGGAGGGACGCATTTCCAGAAAAGGCGTCGGGGAGGGCCGATTTTGGGGGTGGGTCACTGGGGAGGGGATTCAGAGAGGTGGGGAATAGAGGAAATCCGAATAGGAACCTCTGACCGCTTCGGCCGGGGCCGAGGCGAATTTTTCAGGGTTCCTTATCAAGGCTTCTTTGACATGATGTCTTACAACGGGCATCGAAATAGCCCAAAAGCCTTATATGGTATGGTCTTTGGGCCCAAACGTAGATAGTGAACGGGGGAACTTTAAACTTTTTGTCCTTCTATATTAGCTCTCTTTCAAAAAGCAAACTTTTTGGGGCTCGGTTGTTAAGAAGAGCCCTAGGTATATACCCTTAATATAGCTATTATATACCCATTATATAGCCCATTATAGGGTAGGGGTCCCCATTGAGGGTCCTTCCTTTTCCCCTTTGACAAGCATCAATATACAACCCCTAGGGTCAGAGGTTGGAGGGGCTTAGGCTGCAGGCAGGGTCTGGCCTGATCTAGACGGGTTTAGGATTGGGTTTAGGGGTTCAGGATTTAGGGTTTAGGGGTTTAGGGGTTTAGGGTTTAGGGTTTAGGAGTTTAGGAGTTTAGGAGTTTAGGGGTTTAGGGATTTAGGGTTTAGGGGTTTAGGGGTTAGGGTTTAGGGTTCAGGGTTTAGGGGTTTAGGGTTTAGGCTTTTAGGCTCATTGCTTGAGTTTGTGTGCGTTTGCGTTGTCGTTGTTTGGTGTTATGCTTTCTTTTGTAGGGGAGCCCAGAAGAATAATTCTTGCTGACTTTCTGAAGGGAGTAGGTCACGGGGTGGCCCAGGTGACTAAAGCAGGTTCCCATGCGCAGATGCAGACCCTTTAAAGCATCTCAACCATACACCTTTTCAGCAATGCATGTTCTTTTCCCATTTACTGGTCTGATGCCGTTGTTTCATGTTCTACTCTCTTCAATGCTGATATGGGTCTTGAACCTCGATCCTTACCCTTGTGCTTAAGATATCGGTGCTCCGTGATGTTGCATACGCATGCTGGAGAAGCCGTTCATGTCTATGCATAGTTACATTTTGTTATAATGCTGATTACTTCCAACATTCCTTAACCACCCTAAGAATAAGTCCATTTCCGGAAAACCCACCTAGAAGCATGCTGGATTTGGGGAAGCTTGCGGCACAAGAGCGGGAGCAAGAACAATGACAGGAGCAAGTGCAAGCAAACACGAATTTAATGTAGGAGCCTTATAATAATTAGAATAAGAAATGGGGGCCTATTATACTATACTTATAATAAGGAACCCCTTCAGCCGAAGATGTTCCATCAACCTTCAAACGCGAGACTTCCGTCAACTCACTTACGAGCACGCCTTACAAAGAGGGTCCATATACACTAATTACTATTTTGGAACTTTTGGCCCCGAAAACCCTAATGGGGATGGTCTTTTGGGAACTAACTCCATAATGGTAGTACATATGGACCCTTTGGGTTACAAGCATGCCGTAGCTTGACTGCTTGATCCCATGTACGCAGTACAGGGGCCTAGATAATTACCAACACTATTTTGGGGTTCCTTAGTATAATTCTAGTATAATGGGCCCCAAAACCCCATTCTAATTGTTAAGGCCCCGGTATTACCACCGCCTATACTCTAAACCCCCCCAAAACTCCCTTGAAACGATGGCTGCAGTGCCCCAGGAGTGGGCTTTGCATTGCCACCGTCCGTGCACCCATGGTCGGCCGCTGAGAAGTTAAGGGACACAGGAGGGGGGAGGGGGCAGGTATGTGGTATTTAATTTATTAAATTAAGCCTCATGATTTCTAAACTTCCGAACTCGAGATTTGCGACAATAAAATCTTCGATGTTATTCAATGCCCGGCGCACCGAACCATGTGTGGTTGCTGGTTTCTTCACAGTTCAGTGTTAAAGGGCCCTAAACCATACACTCTAACCTAAAGCCCTGACCCCTAAAATCATAAACCCTAACCCTACAACCCTAAAACCCTGAAACCTTAAAACCCTAAAACCCCAAAACCCCAACTCTAAAGCCCTAAACCCTAGAATCCCAAACCGTGGCGACGCAGCAGCTAGCAGCTAGCAGTGACAGCTCACCCTGGGGATCAAAATAGCCCAAAAGCCTTGTATAGTATGGTCTTTGGGCCCAAAAGCCTTAATAAATGAGCCCGAAACCTAGACCCCAAACACCGAACCCTTTTAAAGGGACCCTTAGAGGAACCCTATTCTAACTATTAAGGGCCTTAAATTACACGATGCAGGTCCTTACATCCCTAGAGAATATATGAGTCCTTACATCCCTAGGGTCAGAGGTCTCATCTCTCTAGCTCGGCCCTGAGACCATTCGCACATGTGCAGTTAAATATGCTTGTTTTTAGCAAACCCTTTCTCAAGATGTTTTATTTCTCGTAAATATATATATATATATATATATATATATATATATATACACCTATTTGTGCAATTAAATATGCTTTTGACGAACCCTTTCTCAGATGCTCTAACTATTTTTAAAATCGGATCGCATGTATGCAGTTGAGTATAGATATTTAAGGAACCTTCTTTCAGATGTTCTATTTCTTACGTCGGTTAAGGGGTCTGGGTACCGGAACCTAAGAGGAGAGCTCACAAAGCCTGCGGGTTGAAAACTTCCAAAACCCTAGAGGCCCTATATTTGTAATGCACCATGCCAAGACTCTACTGAACTAAATGAAGACTCTATCCCTAGGGATCAAAACAGCCCCAAAGCCTTGTATAGTATGGTCCTTGGACCCAAAAGCCTTAATGAGTCCTTAGATCCCTAGGGTATTAAAGCCTAAACGGCCTAAACCTTCCTGTGATCAGCCGGCGTTGTGACAGGTGTCCGCAGTGTCCGCGCAGCCCTTCTCGTTGGTCGTCGCAGGCTGCCGCAGCGAAGCAGTGCCTCCTTTTATGGATTTTGGAAGGTTTGACTGCGGATGACTGCGGTTTCCAGAGTTTCTACAGCTTTGTCGAATCTGGTTTTGTAGCGGTTCAATAGTTCTTTCCATATAGAAGCTTTCCGGCGTGTTGCACAAGTTTAAAAGGGTTCTAGGGCTTGAGGCTTGTTTAAATGGCCAGAGGACATTTAACGTAGACTGCAAGTAGGATACGTAAGATACACCCGCTTAGTAGGTCAGCATAGAGTTTTACCTTAGCGTCTGCAGGTTTCTGTCATGCATGTTAGGTCCGGGGATATAATTACTTCTGGGGGTGTATTTGCTGAAGCTCTCATACAGGTCTGTCTCAAGGCCAAAGCCCTTGAATGTTCGAACCGCATAGAACCCTAACTGAAGCCTCACAAGAGCCTAAAAGTGTCAACGCTGAGCTTTGATCATAAGCCCTGCCAAAGGGTCAAAGTACCCATGTTGGCTACTTTTTAGGTATTTTGTGCCACGGAAGTATATACTCTACCAATACTTGGACCCTTTGGGAAAGTCTTGCGTAATGATCCCTTATAAAGCCCTTGCAGACACCTCTCTCTGCAGAACGCGAAGAGATCACTTGTAAGCTACGTATCCGGCCCTTATGTTGCCCGTAACAAAGAAACCGTATAAGTGCAGACATTTGTAGAGTTGTTGTACAATCCAAAACCAAGCCCCTGAAACGTATGTAATTGTTTAAATTGGGTCTTCAACAACGTCTGCAGAACCTTTCCAGGGCCCTTCCTGCTTTCGAGCTCCTGTGCGCCGGCGGTGCGGGCAAGGACATGTGCTGGGAAGCTCAACTCCTTCGGCGGTTTGCTCTGTTTTTGGGGATTTAGGTTTCAGTAGGGTTTGGGGGTCCAGGGTTTAGTGTATTCGTGAAGCAGTTCTTTCACGAAGTTTCTAGTCTTTGTGTTCTGAAGCTAGTAAAGCTTCTAGGAATGACGTGCATGTTTGTATCAAACTATATTTTGGTTCAAGAACAGCCCAATTAGGGGGTTCAGGGCCCTGGGTGCACGGCTTCTATAGGGCTGAATTTAAGGTTTAGGGTTTGCGGCGCAGGCGGGCTTGAGGGTTTCTTCAGATTAGCTGTTTGGGTGTAGGGTTGTGGGTTCTGCGGCTGATGGGGCTGTTTGCCCTCTATAGGGTTTGTGGGAGCAGGATTTAAGGTTGTAGGTTTTAGGGTTCTGAGAGTTCAGTTTTCTTGTATTGTTTCAAAGGTGCATGGGCTAGACAGATAGATAGTTAGATAGTTAGATAGACAGACAGTTAAATAATTGAGGTTGAATGACGATAGAGCTCGGGTAGGAAACCATTCGGAATTGTTTTTGCAGGTTGCCACATAGTATGCAAACATGCAGGGTGGTGTTCCGTTGTCTGTTCGGTGACGATGGGACGGAGTCGTGGTGTTGGTGTTTCAGGAGCCATGAACCCTTACTGTTAGCCTCTATAGACGTAAGCCCGACAAAGAAGTCAGGTCAACGGAGTCGCTGAGAAAATGCGGCGCGCTTAGTTACCCTGGATTTACTTCAGGGATTTCTAGGGTAGGAGTCTACGGTGTTGTTAGGGTTTTTGGGAGTGTGGAGTTTAGGATAACGGGTGAATAGCTTTGATGGTGCCTTTGGGGGACAAGGACTACAAGGGAATTGCAGGTATCAGCCAAGGAATCACGAGAGTCAATAGAAGTAGAATGGGAATCTTGTTCAAGACTGGTTTTATCCAGTATATGAACATAGAGAGTCAGAGAGAGACAGAGAGAGAGAGAGAGAAAGAGTATACATACATATATAGATATAGATATAGATATAGATATAGATATAGATATAGATATATACATATACACATAGGTATATAGATACCTTTGCACATATAAACATATATGTGTACATACACAGTTATACGCATAAACATTAGAGGAAATATGTCAAAACATATACATATGTAAATATGTATATATATATACACATACACAGATGTGTGCATACATATGTATATGTATATATATATGTATATATATATATATATATATACATAGCAAACAGTACGCCACATGGAACTTAGCAAAGCAGTCTTACGTATCCCTACAAGCCGTAAATGCCTAACTATACTAGCCTACACGTTGAACGTTGCAGCCCTTGCCGTAAACGGTAATTGCTTTAAACACGATCTTGCTCACGTCTTTTGTCCTTTCGGGGCTCAATTAGCAGGCCGTGGGTGTTAATTACTTACATGTCGATCGATGAAAACCCGTTGTTCTATGGGCTTTACCTTACCCTAAGCACAACATTGGCCATGCAAAACTTACCGGACCGCTTCAGGTTCAGAGGGGCTTTATGAAAGGCGTTGCAAGGCTAGCCTGCTTGAGGTCTATATTACGTTACCTTCATCTTCTAAAGCTCCTCCTGGGGCTGCAGTGATTGGGGTGTTGCCGAGGGTTCAAGGCTCAGCGTTTCGAGCCTTGTGTTTTCTTTCTAAATCCTAGCAAAACTTCCGAATGAACATGTCACGTCTGCACCTATACCGTCATACAATGTCATCCCTTCGATGCCCCATTTGTCAATTCAACCTTATACCCGTTTTACAGTATGTTAAGTACTAACGGTAAACAAAAAATCGTCAAACCCTGAACTCCGAAGCCCTAAACCTTGCTATCCCCCAAACCCTAAACCCCACAGCCTAACCCACAAAGAAAGAGCCGTAAAAACAATAACACCTAAACCCAAATCCCTAAGGCTCCAAGTACCCAAATAGTAGGGTTTCAAGGTCCGAAAACCATTCAGACAATGGGTTTGGGACCTAGATCCCTACTATTTGGGTACTTGGACCCTCTGGGAAATCCTACCCTAACGATCCCTTTAAAGAACCCTATAGAACCCTTAAGGAACCCTGGGGACCCTTCTAACCTAAACCCAAACATGTCAGTCACAGGTCTGGCGTCTGGCGTTGCCGCTGCTTTAGCCCCTACGTCGGCCTGGACTGCTCTGAGGCATGGGAAACAAAAAGGGGGGGCTTCGTGCTTCGTATTGGCTGTAAACTAAACTTTTCAACTTTTGGGGTTCTTATAAGGTAGTCGATTCTGAAAGCTTCAACTTTTATTCCCTTGGGTTTTGGGCCAGTGAGGCTTAGAATGAGGGTTCCTCTTAAAATTTAAAAGTGTGAACCATTGTACAGCTCGCCAGTGAACGGTTCCGTCAACGGATCTGTCAGGGTTCTATTCTTTCGTGCTAAGGATAGGGTTCCTCTAGCTTAGACAGCCAATGGGAGAGACTAAAATTTTGGGCCTAACATATTGCGTCCATCTTCGGAAGTTTGAACTTTTTTGGAACCGTTTATTGGCTAAGAGAATTGAGGGTTCATTAATTAATGTTACTTTATTTCCGACCACTGGGGTTCAACCACATATGGAAGCCGATGAGGCAGCTGAATAGCGGTAGCCGCTATCTACCACACCCTGACGCTCCATGTATACCAAGGGAATGCTGGCTAGACTTTATAGCCTGAACCATAAGCCGAAGCAATCCAGGCATCGCCAAGTTGTCAATTAAGTTGTTGGGTAGTAATTAACCTTTTGCCCTTTGTTATTTTAGGGTCGCCTTATTCAACCTGAACATTAGGACAAGGGGTACCCTTGTTATGAAGGGGCCACTCAGGAACCTAGTTGTTGTGGCTTAGCCCTTAAAGGAACCCAAAGTAAAGGAGCCCTTAGCCCTAAACCCTTAAAGGAACCCTTAAAACACCGGAGCCCGTTGAGGAATCCTTGCAGGAGCCCTTAAAGAAAGGAACCCTAAGCCTTATTGGCCGTAAACTTAACTTTTCAACTTTTGGGTTTCTTATAACGTAATCGGTTCTGAAAGTTTCAACTTTTATTTCCTTGGGTTTTGGGCCAGTCCTTAGCCCTACAGTAGAAGCCCAGCCCAAAAGTTGGAAACCCAATAGCCTCGATCCTCAAGAGCAATTTATAGGGAATCCCAGCACTATTTGGCCTTGATCCGGTTTCCAACTTTATGGGGTTTACTGTCAGCTTGGAAACCCAGACCCCCGGGAGGATCCAAAACATAGATCCCTTAATGGGGTTTCCTGTAAAGTACCCTTAGTAGTATAGGGCCCCATATTAGGGGATCTACTTTCTAGATCCTTTCGGGGGTCTGGGAAGTGAACCCTCTAAAACAGGAGCCGGAGGAGATCCCCGTGAGCTCCCCCACGGCGCGCCGGCCGGCGTCGCAGCCCCCCGGCCTCGGAAAAGTGGAGGTTTAGGGATCAGGCATTTGGGATTTAGGGGTTTAGGGGTTAGGGTTTAGGGTTGAGGGGAGGGGGTTAGGGATTACCTTAACCCGGAAGACCCTGCCTTTTTGAGGACTTATTTAAGGAAATCATCATAATGAATCCGAAAAGGGTAGGTAATTCAGGGTTAAGGTAGGGATTAGGCATTTAGGATTTAGGGGTTTAGGGGTTAGGGTTTAGGGTTTAGGGGTTTGGCGTTGGGGTTTAGGGTTTCAGGGTCTAGGGAAACTTCATAGTTTAGGGTTTAGGATGGGATTAGGGATGAGTGTTCAGAGATTAGAGCTTAGAGATGAGGGATGAGGGTTCAGGGATCAGAGTTCGGGATTCGGGCTCAGGGATCAGAGGTTAGGAATGAGGATTCAGGGATTAGCGTTTAGGGATCCGGGATTAGGTTAGGGATTAGGGATTAGAGTTCAGGCTTTCGGGGTTAGGGATTCGATTTAAGGTTTCGGGTTTGGGGATAAGGGATATGGAGTTCGGGCTTGGGGACATCAGGGTTCAAAACTGACTAGGGATGAGGATTCGGATGTAGTGATTCTAGGGATCAAGGTTTAGGGTTTAGGATGGGGTTCCCTAAGACTCCAAGTGCAGAAATAACACCGATTTTGTGTGCAAAGCCTGTGACTCATTATGAGTAGTGCCTGCTTTGGGCTGTTTGGAGTCCTCGGGGGGCTATACAGGCATAGTTGCACATACATGAGGTTTCAATATTTGCTTGCAGCAAGCAGGCTGGAGTGATTTTTTTGGACGAGTAGAGTCGATGATGCGCTGTAACAGGATTTTGGTTTCTGTAATGGTCGTAGTAGGGTGCTAGGCCTTGTACCCTAAACCCTAAACCCTAAACCCTAAACCCTAACCCACTTAGGGTTTAGGGCTTGGAAACTAGAGGTTCCGGGTTGAGGGCCTAGGCGGCTAATGACAGCAAGCTTCGCCAATGTGCGGAAAAAAGAAACGTAGATAGTGAACGGGGGAACTTTAAACTTTTTGTCCTTGTATATTAGCTCTATTTTAAAAAGTTTGAACTTTTTGGGGCCCGGTTGTTCAAGAAGAGAGGAAAAATGAGGGTGCTCGAGGTGCCTGCAGCTGGCCCAGCCAGACCTGCGATGATCATCAGGATCCTCATGCAATGGTCAACCACAGTCAGTCGCCGGGTTTAGGGGTCGCCGTCAACAACTTCATCATTTCAAAGGGGAAAAGGAGGGACCCTTAATGCGGACCCCTACCCTATTATGGGCTATATAACGGGTATATAAATGGCTATATAATGGGTATATACCCAGGGGTCCTTATTAGGGGTCCCTCAACCTTTGATCATTATCATTATCATCATCCTCTTCATTTTTAGCATGTTGTTGGTACTGTACCCTGTTTAGATGTACCTGACCTAAATCCCGAACCTGAACGGAAACCCTAAACCCTAAACTTTGTCAAGGCAAAAACCCGAAAGACTTCTGAACTTCTGAACCCTGAACCTTAAACCCTAATCCCCAAACCCTAAACCCTAAACCCTAAACCCCTAAACCCCTAAACCCTAAGCCCCAAACCCTAAACCCTAAACCCTGTCTGAGTCTGCGGCCGTGGCAGTGGTACAGCTTCAAGGCTCCTTTCAGCTGCGGCTTGGCTTTAGTAGTGTAGGAACCTGATTAAGGCCTTTTTTTAGGGTTCCTTTAAAGGGGTCTATAAGGGATCCAAAAGGGTATATACTATAAATATGTAGGAACCTGATTAAGAAACCTTGGGCCTTTATTAGGGTTCCTTATATGAATCCTACTATATTGGGGGTTATAGGCCCGGGGTTTGGGTTTAGGTTTCGTTTACTTGGCTCTACGAGGTTCCCCAATAGTATCCGTTTGGTGTGTTTTGTGTGTTTTTGAGGGCGGGAGGGGTCCCCGTATCAAAACCGAACACAAGGAGCAACAAGTGCGGTACCTAGTTTCCAGGACCCTCCTTGTGCCTTCAAATAGCCTTCAAATAGGGATATTTGCCCGGTTTAGGGTTTAGGGGCATTTAGGGCCTAATACTGGGTAGATGGAGGGTTTAGGTTATGCTTCTCAGAAACCTCATGACTGATGTGGGATATGGGTTGTTGTCAAAATTATTTTCCCTTTTTGGGTACCCTAGATAATAGGTGCCGTATTATAATAGGGACCAGAAAAGGGACCATAATTTTGACAACCCCATATTCAGGCTTCTGCATTCTGGGTTTCAGAGACAGAGTCTAGAATTGCAACATGTCGGCTTGTGCGACGTATGGGTTCCGGGGTTCGGTTTTGGATTTTGTGTTGCATCTGGGGTGAGTTGGTTTCTGTGCCACATGCCAATCAAGAACCGTTCGTGCGGCACATAGTCATCGAAGCTTGGACATGCATCACAAGACAGAAAGAATGTCATAACTTTGGCTTTGTTTCTGGAAGATTCCTGCTAATCCTTGAACCTACACTGTGCCTTAAAACCCTAGTCTACCCCAAACCCTAAACTCCAAGCTATAGTCGACATCCGAATTCTCACTAAACTCTGCCTCCAAGCGAATTCTGGCCCAGTCCTGTTGGGGTTTTACCAGGCTCCTGGGTAGTACTACTGTTGATGATATAAATCCTGCATGACCTTAAGGGCCCAACACTATGGGAATTATGGTATCTTCCGTATGATGGGTAATGTAGGATTTATATCATCAGCCGTAGTACCCTTTTGCCCTTTATAGTGTAGGGTCCCCTTTTTAAAACTCAATAATTATGAGAAAAAGAGGGTACCCTTATTGTAAAGGGGCTACTCAGGAACCTACGGTTGATGATATAAATCCTGCATTACCCATAGTAAGGAATATACCCTAATCCACATAGTTCAGGGTCCTTAAGGTAATGCAGGATTTATGTCTTCAACTTCTTCAACAGTAGTTTATGAACTCTAGAGCTTATATGGGCTTCAGTTGGTGATTCTGGTGAGCGCAACTTGGGCTCCTTGGGAGTGGTTGTACCTGTTTGTTCGGGTTTTCAAGGGAAGACGAGTCATATAGAGGCTTAACCTTTTTCGGGTTTTTGATATAAGTAATTATAGTACAGTGGGCCCCAGAACCCTATTGAAATTATTCAGGCCCCCATACAGTAGAAGCCAGAAAGTTGGAATATCATTATCGTAACCCTTTTAAGGTAGATTATAGGGCATCCTACCATTAATCCATATTCCAACTTTCTGGAGTTCCCTTTATTAGCAAAGCTTCCTACATCACATCCTAAAGTCGTTTGAGTCCATTCAGGCCCCTAACGCGCTAAGGCACCTGGCGCTACCCAGAGGCCCCAAAGTAGTTCCTTTTTGGGATTACCTTATAGGATTCTATATATGAACCGCAAAAAGGAACTACTATGGGGCCTGAGGGTAGAGTGAGCTACGGTTGAGGGTTCAGGGTTCAGGGTTGATGAGCTGACGATGGAAGCCTACCTGCGACTGGCCTTCTTATGTAAGCCCCAAAAGCTCGATATTCCTTCACCTTGCCAGAAAAAAGTATCCTAAATGGCCTTCTTGTGTAAGCCCCAAAAGCTCGATATTCCTTAACCTTGCCAGAATAAAGTATCCTAAATGGCTTAAGATGATCCTTGCATCAGGGGCTCTACCTCTAAGATCCTTGCAGAAGGGTGGTTCAAATATTAAGCGGTTAGACCTCCGTCAAGTTCTGAGATCCAACGCCACGAAACCCTGCACCTCTGCGTACTAGGATGCCCAGTAGTACCCTTATTCCCTTTTTGTAGTCCTAGGTTGATTATCAAGTTACCCAATACCAAAAAGGGAGCCCTTTTTATTCCTAGGTTACTGGGCATCCTAGTATAGTGCAGCTTATTGGCTGTAAACTAAACTTTTCAACTTTTGCGGTTCTTATAAGGTAGTCGATTCTGAATGTTTCAACTTTTATTCCCTTGGGTTTTGGGCCAGTGAGAAACCCTAAAGGAACCCTTAGCCCTACAGTAGAAGCCCGGCCCAAAAGTTGGAAACCCAATAGCCTCGATCCTCAAGAGCAATAGTATAGTGCAGCAGCAACAGGAGAAAACAAAAACAACAATTCCGAGCCAAGGTTTCGAGGGGAAGTACACTTTGTCAGTGGAGGACCGCCCTTTTGCCCGAAATCCCTAAACCTTGAAACCCTAAACCCTAAACCCTAAACCCTTAAACCCAAAACCCTTAAATCCTAAACCCTAATCCTTAAACCCTGAAACCCTCAAACCCTGAAAACCCAAACCCTAAACCCTTAAACCCCGAAGCACAAATCGCTGAACCCAAAACCCTACACCCTGTATGCCCAAAACCCCCTTAACCCTGAATGCCCAAACCTCCAAACCCCAAAGTTTCGGGTTTAGACTTCGGAATCCCGGGCCCGCACTTCCCAAAGTGAAGCCTTCTTAGAGTTTGAGAAAAGTTTAGGGTTTCGGGTTTAGGGCAAGGCAGCAAGAAGTATAAGGTTCTTGTTAAGTTTGTTCTTTACGTCTAGAGTTGTTCTAATAAGGGCAATTATCGGGGTTGCGGGCTCCACACTTCTAAGGTTTACTACGGGTGTTGTTTGTTGTGTGACCCGAAACCGTACGCCCTGAAAGAGACGTACTGGCAATGCTAAACAGGTCACATTTTGTGTTGCGTCATTCGGTGCTCGCATATTTCACATAGAACTTAGATACACAAGTAGTAGGATCTTTGTTATGAAGACACCTAAATATGATTGCTCCCCGATTACGTACTCAAGTTCCAATATTGACGACTTTGTATTCCTTGGTTGAACGGCTGAGGTGTAAGGATGCGAAGCAAAAGCAGCTGAAGCATCCAGAGTCTTATTCTTGCATGCGGTTCTCTGTACATGGTTTCGATATGTAAGCATGTACGGACATGCTCATGCAGGCGTGTCCGTGCTGAGAGTGACTCGTCATTCGAGTGCTATTCGTGAATACGAAAGTCCAAACAGCTACATGGGTGGTTGTCAAAATTAGGGTCCCTTTTTGGCTACCCTAAATAATAAGTGAGGTATTGTAATAGGGACCCAAAAAGGGGCCCTAACTTTGACAATCACCCACACAGCAAATACCTTTCCCCCTTGCCGCCAGATCACGCCCAGCTGTCGTTCTGCGGCTTCAAGATGAAGATTCAGTCCAAATTACAAAAAAAAGTTCTAATGCAATCATAGTAAAGATAGAAGTCTATGAGAGCAGCAACACCCAAAAGATCTCTAAAACCCCAGACCCGAAAACCACCAAAACGCTGGAGCTGAAGGTTTTGTTCGGAGTGAGCAACGAAGGAAACTGCCTGTTCAGTAACCTGCACCTTACATATCCTTGTCATGGCGAGAGTAAATTTGCAAGCCCTCACCCCTGAACTCTTCGTAACAGGTCCTTAACCATCGTGCCTAAACAGCAGCGGTCGCTCCGGCCGATATACGGATCATCGATTGGGATGAGCGGCGCGCCGGATGGCAGGTCTTTGCTGACATGGAGACGGCCATTCATTGGGTACGGCCCCCACTCAGTAACAGTTGGATAATATTCATAATATAGATATATAAGGCCCTTAATAGTAGCCCCCGACCATCCAAGTATGGGGGCCGTAACCAAGCCATTTATCATCTCGGGCACATTTACCAGCAGCACGGAGTTGACAGGGCTGGCAAGGTCCGTCTGACAAACAAGTTCCAACAGCGCCAGCAAAGTCTCGACCCTAAACCCCAGACCCTAAACCCTAAAGCCTGACACCCTTGAACCGTAAACCCTAAAGCCTGAAACCCTACATCCCTAAAGCCTGAAGGCTCAAAGCCTGAAACCTAAAACCCTAAACCCTAACGCCCTGAAGCCTGAAACCCACAAAAACCCTGCAGTTTGAAAGGGACCCGGCGATCCCGAGCTTCTGAAGATGACGCTGTCGTGGACTCAGCAGTGGCCGCTCCTTCCCCCACCCTGGGAGAATCCTAAAAGTAGGTCCTGTAAGGGTTTAGGGTTTAGGGACGATTTAGGGTTTCGGGTTTAGGGACGGTCTTTGAGGGTTCCTTGAAAGGCTATTGGAAGGTTCTATAAGGTTCCTTTAAGGGAGTTCATTGATGGGATATTATGGGTTGTATTTAAGAGATAGGTTAATGAATATTTTCCACCAATTCAGGCTTTGAAAAGTCAGAATTTGGGCATGATTTGGTCTATGCCCTAAACCCTAAACCCTAAACCGTATGAAGTGGGAAACCCTGAGACTCCAGACCTTAAGTTGCACAGGTTTAGGGTTTAGGGTTCCTTGCTAATTGGGCTTTTGGAGTGTCTGGGAATCTACAAGTTCTAGGTTCTCCGGTAGTACCTTCTTATTTTTTTCTTTTTAGGGTTCCCTCTATTGAACCAAATAGGAGGAAAAAGGGCACCGCTATTATTGAGGTGCTACTGGGGAACCTGGTATAGTAGCCTATAAGCCCTAAGCCCTAAACCCCGAGCGATTATTTGCCGGGGCCTCAGAAATTGTTTCAGTAAAAAGAATCTACAGGTTATAGTAGCCTCTAAACCCTAAACCCTTACAGTCTTCTAGTACCCTCATAGATCCCATAGTCTTACAGTGCCCCAACCCTAGACCCTATACATCCCCTTTAAGGAACCCAAAAGGTCCCCAAAAAAGAACCCTATGTTAGTGCCGATCCCCCGTGTTTTCCACGAAGGTCTGGTGGTCACCTCGAGGTCCGGCAGGGGCTAGGGCTTTTGGGTTTAGGGTTCAGGGGTAAACCCTAAACCCCAAAACCCAAAAGCCCAAGGGTCCAAAGCCAAGCAATTCGATTCTTGGGTTGAGCATCGAACCCAAAACCCTATAAATCATAGGGACCCTTGGAGCTAAGGGGGAGGGGGGAGGGGACTATATTTCCTTAGATTCGGATACTTGAGTTGGCTTGGAACCTGATTAAGAAACCTTGGGCCCTAATAGGGTTCTTAATATGGATCCTGAAATATTGGTGTTATAGGCCCCGGGTTTCCTAATCTGGTTCCTACACAACCCCAAACCCTAAGCTGTAGATGTTTGCAGGTACCGTTGCGGCGAGTAAGCTGACGATTGATCAGGTACTTGGGCTCTATGGTGTGTGTGTGTGTGTGCTGAAGTTTGGGACTTGGGTGCGCCCTTGAATCAGTCATGGGTCAGCATTTGCGGAAAAGTGCATAGAAGTTTTGACACTACAGATTTCAGTGGTGTTTGCGTTGTTTCTGCACAGAGCAGTAAATCAATGCTTGCCCTGACCATCAGCCTCCAAATCCCTGAGCCATCGTTAGGCCTCACAGCCAGGCCCACACCCGGGGTACCTTTAAAGAGATCCTTAAAGGGATCTATAAGGGTTCTATAAAGGGTTCAGGGTTTAGAGTTGCCGAAATTTGGGGGTACCTTATTTTGGGGGTCTTATAATAAGGACCCTACTGTTTAAGGTACCATAGTAGGGTCCCCTATTTTCGGAAACTCCCATTTAAACAAACTGCAGCAACCCATACGATCCGCATAGACACTCATTAGCAGATTAACAGCCCTGAAGCCCAAATATGCAGGTGACTGGCAGCGACGGTGTGAGCTCCACGCCGGAGGTGTCCATCACCACCTCTTTGCAGGCGCGAGGGTCTGGTTTCCGAAAATAGGGGACCCTACGATAATATCCTAAATGGTAGGATCCTTCTTATACGGACCCCAAATAAGGTAGATCTAAGTAGATCCCTTTAAGGATCCCTTTAAAGGTACCTCTAATTTTCGGATACTTCCATATTAAGCGGGCTCACTGCAAAAACCCTTCAGTCAGAGGTAAGCCTGCAGGCACCCACGGCTCCTCGCCACTCGGCCTCAAAATAGGTAGGAACCTGATTTTAAGCCCTGGACCCATTAATGTAGGAAAAGAATAGGGGTTCCTTGAAAGGGATCCTTAAAGGGTTCCGTTAAAGGGATCTATTGTGGAGTTCTATAATCTTGGGGCCTGAATAATTAATATAAGGGTAGGAACCTGATTAAGAAATGTTGGGCCTCTACTTGGGTTCCATACATGAATCCTGCTAGTTTTGGGTTATAGGCCCAGGGTTTATTAATCAGGTCCTTACATTAGTGTCTTTGAGTGTTCTTGGCTTTCAGGTGTTGGATTTTTGTTAGGGTTGGGGGTTGTTTTAACGGCTCGACGGACGGTCTGAGAATCGCTAAGGCTCTTGGAGTTTGTGTGTGTGTGTGTGAGTGTGCGTATCAGCCGTGGGGTTAGGGTGTAGGGTTTTGGACTTTCATTGTTCTATTTCGTGTGTTTGTTCGCCCCCAAACGTATAAACCCAACTTCTCGCACACCCGCCACATACATTCATGGAAACCCCAAGCCTTGGCCCTTTACTACCACCGAAACCGCAAAACAACTCCACTTCGACTATTGCGACCCTTATTTCCCTAAGCCCTAAAACCCTAAACCCTTATTTCCGGCACTTGAGCTCCTAGACCACAAAACCTAGAACCCTAAACGCATAACCCTAAAAACCCTAAAATTCTAAACCCCTAAACCCCAAAATCCCAAAAACCCTAAACCCTTAAACACAAAATCCCTCAAGCCCTAAAAATCTTATAAGCCCAAAACCCAAGACCCAACTTCTTGCGTAAACGCCCTTAAAAACCCTAAAACCCTAAACCTTGAAAACCCTAATTTCCCAAAACCCAAAATCCTAAAACCCAAAATCCTGAAAACCATCTAAAACCCAAACCGTATAAGCCCAAAACCCAAGACCCAACTACTTGCCTAAACGCCCTTAAAAACCCTAAAACCCTAAACCTTGAAAACCCTAACCTCCCAAAATCCCTAAAGTCCTAAATCCAGAATCCTGAAAACCCTCTAAAACCCTAAACCTTGAAAACCCTAATTTCCCAAGACCCAACTTCCTGCTGACCAGAACACGGGCGCTGACTACGCGAGGACCGCCGAAGCGCCAACCTCAGATCGATGTGTTCACTTAGGGCCCCAAAAAAGCACATAACCAAAAATGAGGATAAGGATATCCCATATAAACTCCTTACAATGAAGCCCGATAAGATAGGTGCTTATTCTTATGTGCATTTTGGGCTAAGCACTGCAGGGGCCTTACCAGTTACCTATACTATTCCCTGGGGTTCCTTTATAGGGGTTCCTTAAAGGGATCTATAATTGATAGTTACCTATACTCTTCCTTGGGTTCCTTCAAAGCGGTTCCTTAAAGGGATCTAGAATTGATACTTGCCTATACTCTTCCTTAGGGTTCCTTCAAAGGGGTTCCTTAAAGGGATCTATAATAGGGTTCTATATTAGAGGCTTCAATCATCACCTTTACTCTTTTGTGGGTTCCTGCATATAATCTGAGTTATAGTGGGCCCCAAAACCTTGTTCTAGTTATTAAGGCCCTCATATGAAGGGTCATGGCTCCTCTAAGTAAAGGGATACAGGGTTCCGTCCAAGTATACGGCCATAAGGATAACTGAGTTCTGCAACAAGGGTTTAGGGGTTAAGGGGCCTAGGGCCTAGGGCCTAACCCGAAACCCCTAAACCCTAAGCCCCTAAACCCTGAACCCCTAAACCCTAGACCCTAAACCCTCGGTGTTTGGGGGTTAGGGCTTTTTTGAGGGATCGTTTCAGGAATTCCTGTGGAACCGAAGGGCTTGGGGCTCCTTCACAGGGCTCCGTAAGGTCCCAGAGACTCCAAAAACCCTTGATTAAGGAATATATCTTAAATTATAGTAGGATCCCAAATAAGCTTGAAGGAACATTCCTTAATTAAGGGATATTGGATTTAAAGGATATTGGAGTCTCTGTGGCTGTCAAATTTCGAGCGGTTTGGGTTAGGTCTAGGATTAGTTCGTGGCTCATAGGGTTCACACAGGGCCGCTGATGCGGGTTTATGTTCAAGGCTTAAGGCCTGAGTGTTTAAGTTTCAGTAGCTTGGAGTTCGGATTTTTGTTGACATTTTCAGTTAAGGCTTCAGTGGTTTAGTGTGTAATTTCGGTTTCATAGGGTTGGACTAGCGCCCAATGAGGGGTTGGGTGTACACCCGTGCGATGGTGAGTGAGGACGTTGGATTGTTCTCACGCTGGCGGTCCAGTAGATCATTAGAAGTTCCTGACGCCATATGCACCTATAGCAACTGGTAAACAGTGTGCCGGTGCATGGCGCCATTAACAATCCATGAGGGTGCATGCACCCAAAGAGTATATACTTTGACCCAAAAGTGCTTGTTCAGGGTCTACATTACGGCGAGAGCTAATATATTGTTTGGGTACATGGATGATTATGCAGCTGTCTAAGAAGATGTTTCAGTTCAGTTGCAGCTAACTTTGACGTGTGTCGCAAGTTTATTGTGTGTGCATGTAGGTGTATACATTTATACATGTATATATGTATATATATATATATATATATTTATATATATTTGTATATATATATATATATATATATATATATATATATATATTCATACATAGAGAAGAAAGAGAGAGCGGTTTGTCTTCGCCACCCAGGCTCCGGCTGCAGCGAGCTACAGATTTTGAACATAGGGCTTCATCGGGCCCCACCATAATTGATATGGTTAGCCTAAACCCTTAAAGCCCTAAAACCCTATTTAAAACCCCTAAACCCTAAAAAACAACAAAAACCCTAAGCCGCCCCAAAGTAGGGAATCGCTAGGTTGAGGTTGCCCTCGGCGCGCTGGAGGGAGAGGCCGCTTTGAAGGGCTCCCAATAAGGGGTCCCTTGAAAGGGATCTGCAAAGGGTTTCGAGTATAAGTGTTTCTATAAGGGTGCTATATGCGTACTTTTCTTTTTTAAGGTCCCTTCTAGGGTCTCTTTTATTAGGGTGCCGTACTATATTGGGGACCTAAAAGGGGACCTGAATTTAGAGAACTACCGATTTAGTTCAGTTTCATAGATAAGGTGCCCATACCTACTATAGAGCTATACTTATCCGAACCTCATTGAAGATACTTATATCAGTGTATTTACTCTAAAACTGTTATGGAACTTAGCAGCCATACTTGCTAAGTCCTATGATCCTGCGAGTGGTCTCAGGACCTGGAAGCTGGGATGAACAGAGTATGAAAACAACGAGTAGCCCAGTAGTCGAGTAGGTAACCTTTAAACCCCTTTTTGGGTAGTATAGTCCCTATATAGTCCCGATATAACCAAAAAGGTTAACCTTTAGTTCCCCATGATACCCGACAAGTAGGGTAAAGCTTTTTTCTTGCTGGGACTCCTTCTCAGGGTTTACGGTTTAGACTTTACAGGATTTAGGTAGGTAGCATGAAAGATTTGTGTTATGATGGCTCTTGGCTCTTGTTTGAGATTAGCCCACCTACCTTCATCCCACCTTGGAAACACTTCGATGGTCGATGCTTCAACACCTTGGTCTTATGTAGTTGCTTCATCAGCGGCTTCTGGAACGTTTCCAAAGTTTCCATGATATAACGAACCCTGTTTTGGGCCGAGTTGCCGAAGAAGATAGAGTTTCGAGATCAGAGTCAATATACCTATTGTTCATCTCGGTGTTTACCGAATTGTTTGTATCTGTCTGAGTGTTCTGCAAGGCTTCCAACCGCCTCCATGTGTGAGTCGATACCATATGTTTTAGAATGGGTGTTCCGGAAGCTTGTCAAGGAGCTCGCGTGAAGTCCATGGGCATGGTCTGGACTACCTTCTGGAATACGCGGTGCACCTCCTCGTCAAGATTGTCCAGAATGTCGTCAACGGCGACGCCGACTCCATGGACAAAGCCAAGAGGACGTTCAAGCACTTCATACAGGAGAATCCAGAACAAATCCTTCAACCAAACACAACAACAAATCGACTCTGGTTGCTCGGCAGTGACGGCCCACCACGCGTGCCTGCGTGGTTCCTGGTGCTGAGCAAGTTGGACTTCCTCCGACACACGTACAGGGACTGCAACGCAAGTTATCTCCCGTCCTGGACCAGAGGCGACAGTCTGCTCGCTGTGTCTGTCTCAACCACAGCCACTCTCCAGCACATGAAGGCCACGTTTATCAAATTCCCCAAATGTCTAAACCCTAAGCCTAAGCCCTATCACCCTATAAACCCATAAAGCCTGCAGAAGCCCCAACCCCTAAAGCCGACGCTGAGGGCTTAAGTCCTAGGGTAGCATGATCAGAATCGGTTTAGAGCTTGGGGTTTAGGGTGCTGGCAGTGCCAGTACTAAAGTCCAAGGGTAAAAGGAGGGACCCTTGATAAGGACCCCTAGGTATATACCCTTAATATAGCTACTTTTTTCCGATATACCCATTACATAGCCCATTATAGGGTAGGGGTCCCCATTAAGGGTCCCTCCTTTTCCCTTTTGATAAGGTATGCAGCCAGCACACTCATGTTTTTTGTTCGGTTTGGGATTGTCGGATCAAGTTTGATGATAAACCGAAAACCTTACATCCGGAGCCCTGAACCTTAGTACTCACCTTAGTACTGTTGGCCGTATGACTTCTATATGTTTTTTAGGCGTACCTCTTTTGAATCTCTGACAAATCAGCAAGCCCCAACCCTGAAACCCAAACTCGAGAAATTCCATTCCCAGTCTGGAAGTCAGCGTGGTGTAAATACGAGCGACGCAACGGGCCCCGTGAGAAATTTGAATTTATTCCCGAAATCTAGACCCTAAGGATCCAACAAAAGCCAGAGCATATCGATTTGGGGGTCAAGCGCGTTAGGTCCTTTAAGGGGTCGGGGGTAAAGGATGTAAAGCACCTTCTGCCCCTACTCCCAAACCTTAAAACATACATTCCTTGAGCTACGCACCCTAAACTCCTAGACCCCTCATGTAGGAACCTGGTTACGAAACCCTGGGCTTTTCACCCCAAAATAGTCTAGGATTCATATAAGAAACCCTAACAAAGGCCTAAGGTTTCTTAATCAGGTTCCTACATGACACCCCTAAACCGTTGAACTCTAACCCCCTGAATCTGGCAACCGTTCTTTGGGAGGCGTCCCTGGCTATCGCTTTGCAATGGCAAGGCCGAGACAGGCCGCCAGTGACCTCCCAGACCCGTCAACAAAACCAAAGCCATAGGGTTTAGGGTTTTCGGTGTTTAGGGTTTCAGGGATTTGGGCTTTCAGGTTTAGCCGGGGTTTGGGGTTTTGGGGTTGGGTTTAGAGGTTTCGGGTTTTGGGCTTCAATGTGACTTATGGTTTTGTATATGGGAGTTCGATGTAGGTCCTCTATCCAAGGGTAAAAGGAGGGACCCTTAGTAAGGACCCCTAGGTATATACCCTTAATATAGCTATTATATGCCCATTATAGGGGAGGGGTCCCCAATAAGGGTCCCTCCTTTTCCCCTTTGAATGGAGACTCCAGGTAAAGTTTAAACCCTAAACCCCAAAACCCTAAACCCCAAAACCCCAAACCAGTCTAAGCCCATTTTAGGGCAGGGGTCCCTCGTTTTCCCCTTTGGTTTTCGACTCTTAGACTCCGTACGCCAGGTCGCCCTGGGGTACAATTGCATTTCTACCGCTCGGGGTCCTGACCCTAACCCTAAACCCTAAACCCCTAAACCCTAAACCCCTAAACCCCTAAACCTGATACCTTTTCCTCAACTTCGATAGCCAGCGGGAGATCTTAGAACTGTTCCTAAGCTCCAAACTACCCTAAACCTTGCCTAACTTAGATATTTCAGACTTTTCCTAAACCCCTCTCCCGTCTATCTTAGATAGTTGAATCTTTCTGGGCCTGCTTCTTGAACAAGGGAGTCAAAACTGGGCCTTCCGAGACCCTGGAGAGACCAGAGGGCTCGCTTTAGGTTCTTCAGGGTTCAGGGCTTAGGGCTTACGGTTGGTTACTAGGATGCCCAGCATTACCCTTATTCCCTTTCTGTAGTCCTAGGTTCCCTATAAAGTTACCCAATACCAAAAAGGGAGCCCTTTTTCTTCCTAGCTTATTGGGCATCCTAGTTTAGGGTTTACAGGATCCGTATGCAGGGTGGTTCATGGGGTGCGGGGGAACTAGGCATCCTTCTGGAACTTCGGGGGATCTACAGTAAACCCTCCAAAGTTAGAAACTGGATTAAAGCCAAATGTGCTGGGATTCCCTATGCATTACACCTAAGGATGGAGGCTATGAGGTTTTCAACTTTGGGGCTTCTACTGTAGGGAGACACTGGGATTGCTAGGTTAGCTACTAGTGGTAGTCGTAGTAGTAGTGGTAGTAGTAGTAGTAGTAGGAGTAGTAGTAGTAGTAGTAGTAGTAGTAGTAGTAGTAGTAGTAGTAGTAGTAGTGATAGTAATAGTAGTAGTGGTAGTGGTAGTGGTAGTGGTAGTGGTAGTGGTAGTGGTAGTGGTAGTGGTAGTGGTAGTGGTAGTAGTAGTAGTAGTAGTAGTAGTAGTAGTAGTACTACTACTTCTACTTCTACTACTAGCCGCCCATCCGATTCTAGAGGATTACTGACCCTCCCTGGGGGAGAAGCTTTATTGGCTATACATATTGGGACCCCTAAACCCTAAACCCATATTGAGACCGCCGTTCGCCTTAAACTTCACGGTGACGCTTTTTTCAATAAAGTGGAGGGCAGCCAGACCGCCAAGGCCATGGAGGTAGTACTTAGGGTAGGGTCTGAGCCCTGAAAAGCACCCAAGCGACAAGCGAAAGGATACCCATGGTTGGGGCTTTTTCTAAGGCTCCAAAGTGGTTCCTTTTTGAGATTCATATATCTAGGAATCTAGGGTCTAGAGTAGGCCCTTATTCCTTTTTTTCAGGGTTCCAGATTCCTTATAAGCTCCTTTAAACCGAAAAGGGCACCCTTTTTATTCCTAGGTTACTGGGTCTAGTAAGTTAGGTGTAAAATTGTCGCAAGTTCAGAAACCCCACAAGTTCACCATTGTAAACAAACGTCCACGGAGGCAGCATAACACATATGCTCAGATATTTAAAAACCCGCAAGTTGAAAAATCGTCAATGTAGTTTCTGAGCCCGTTGAAGTACACTCCCTAGTGTCCATGTACCCATGTAGTATATACTTTTTGTTTAGAGTACCTACATAGGGACTTTTTTGATGCCTTAGTAACACTAAATGTCCAAACCCTAAACCCTTACAGCCCTGGGCACATGGACCCTTAGGCACATGGACCCATAGGGATTGCGCAGCTCACACTCGGGCAGGGCCGAGGATGTCGTCATCCGCTGGAGTTCTCAGATAGACGGCTGCGAAGAGTTCTTGGCGAATGGAGGTCCGGGCCCACCGCTTCCTAAATCCCTGAAATGAGGACTATCTGCTTTTAAGGTGGGTTCTTCAAGGTTAAGGTTAGCACTGCAAACTAGGCTTCTGGGGTTCAGGCTTAGGGTTGGCGGCTGGAGCGATGGATTTCAAGGCTTACCTTGACCCGAAAGTACCTACCGTTTGAGGGTTCCTTTATACGATTTCTTTGTATGAGTCCTTAAAAAGGTATGTTATTTCGGGTGCAGGTAGCTTTTACTGTTGTTACGTCTTGGACGTCAAGGTCTGTGCTGGTGACCCCCAGGACCTGTTTATCGTTCAAAGAGGGCGTATAATGGTTTCATGTGTAGGAGCCATGGAAGATAAGAAAGTGGGGACTGCATGTGCGGATTTACTGTTTAGGATTTTAGGGTTTAGGGTTTACCCTAAGGGTCCAAGTAGTCCTTACTTTGTGGGTTTTTGATACCGAAAAAGGCCTTAGAGTCCCACAATAGGAAATACTTGGACCCTGAGGGTTAGGGTGCTGCAAGTCGGTTTTACGGGTTGCCAGGAGCTTAACATGTAGGCTTCCTGTGGAATCTGCAGTTGCACAAGCCACAGTTACATAGGATACTTGTCGCTTAATTGATCATCCATCTGCCCCAGCCCTAAACCCTAAGCCTCAGGCTCAACATAGCCCACATTATCTGATATAGTATGGTCTTTGGGCCCAGACGCCTTGAAGCATGAGTACTTGGAGCCTTAGGGTATTCCTGGCAAGTACGGGGCCGAGCTTTGCCAGACCTGACGAAACCTAGTAGTAGAGTAGGTAACCTTTAACCTTTTTTGGGTAGTATAGCCCCTATATAATCCGTCTATATCCAAAAGGTTAACCTTTAGTTCCCCATGATACCCGACAGGTAGGGAAACGTCCCGAAAGGTTTAGACTTACCTTCACACAGACCTTTACAATTTTCAATGCTGCCCTGCAGACCCCTTGACCCCAAACCCTACAGCCCAAAAATCAAACTCTAAAACCCCAATACCAAATCCTGTAGCCCTTGTCAGCAGTTTTTTCTTAGTAGAGTAGGTAACCCCTAACCTTTTGAGGTTTATATACCCCTACCATAATTGAAACGGTTCACTCAGCCCCTATAAGAGTTTCCGAGAATAGGGGACCCGAATATAGTACCCTAAATGTAGGATCCCTATTGTAAGGACCCCAAAGTAAGGTAACCCCAACTTTCGGAAACGATGGCATGCGAGTCGGGTTCCTGAAGCGCGACGTGGACAAGTTGGATGAGCACATCGCTTACCTGAAGGGGGAGTTGGCCATGGCGGAGAAGGCGAGAAAGAGCCTTGCGGATGAGGCAGGGATTGAGTCTGAGGGGCCGTCAGAGACGAAGGCCATCAAGCAGCCTGTCAAGCGCATCAAGACGGACGAGGCAGGGATTGAGTCTGAGCCGCCGTCAGTGACGAAGAAAATCAAGCAGCCTGCCAATCCGATCAACACAGACGAGTCGGCGTGAGTAGTCGCCGACGGCAGCAGTCGCACAAAGGATATGTACATATGTATATATATATATATATAGATGTATGTATGCAAGTATATCATGAACTAGTCGTCGTGTGACCATGGCCCGCATTTTTTGGTACAGCAGAGTCGAGAGTCCAGGACGTCGACATCAGGAAAACACAGTGCCCTCACTGCTGCAGAGATTTGCTGTCTGCAACCCCTCATATCAAGCTCTTGTTGACCTCAAATGTCCCTTTTAGCGACCAACGCCCTAAACCAGCCCTAAACCCGGCGCCTTTACTTTAAGGTCAGGGTATCTACTATTTGGGCACATGGACCCTTAGGGTATTGTCTTGAAACAGCCAAAACCGAACAACCCTGCAGAACGCATATTGGTAGTTCTCTATGTTAGGATCCCTTAAAGGGGTTCCTGCAAAAAGGGTTTCTTAGGATTTAGATGAGGTTAGTATGTGGGCAGTTCTCTAAACTAGGGTCCCTTCTTAGGTCCCCAAAATAGTACGCCACCCTTATGGAAACCCTAACAGGGACCCGAATTTAAGGAGCTGCCCATATTTGAGCCTTCGGATCCGAAAAGTAGATCCCTGAAGGGTGCTCCTATACAGCACGCTGTGGTATGGGTTCCCAAATTAGGGGTTCTACTTTCGACATCCTCCCAACGGTCTCGGGAAAGGAACCCTTACCCAGTAGTAGAGTAGGCAACCTTTAACCTTTTTTGGGTAGTATAGTCATAGTCCCTATATCCTCCCGATATAACCAAAAAGGTTGACCTTCAGTTCTCCATGATGCCTATAGCTCCCTTAAAGGAACCCTTATGGCTCCCTTTCAAGGAACCCTGAGACACTTTAAGGTTCCCCATGATACCCGACAAGTAGGCTTAAAGCAGGCGATGAAGAAGGAGGCAGCCCGGTAGCGCTCATCCTCGGTGCCTCAGATGAGAATTTTGTCAAGGGGATTCCGATTTGGCAGAATAAACCCACCAAAGCCCTATCCCCACCAAAGCCCTATGCTGATGCTCCTCATGAAGGCCCTGTATCAGGGACTTTGGATTCGCGAAGTAGGCGTTTTCAAGTTTGGGAATCAAGGTTCTGTACGGGCATTTTGGATAGGATGCCCAGTAGTACCCTTATTCCCTTTTTGTAGTCTGAGGTTCCTCATAAAGTTACCCAATACCAAACAGGGGGCCCTTTTCATTCCTAGGTTACCCAGACCTTCCAAAATCCCTTAATTAAGGAATATACCTTAAATAATAATAGGACCCCTTATATGAATTAAGGTATATTCCTTAATTAAGGGATTTTGGAAGGTCTGGGTCCCTTTAAACCTCAAGTTTCCGGTTTGTCCGCAAATCTGGACAGCTAAGTTAAGGATTCCTTTAAAGGGACTGTAAGTGTTCCTTCAAAGGGTACTAGAAGGGTTCCTTTATGGGGTTCTATAAGGGTTCCTTTATTATGGGGTCTGAGTAGGAATCTGGACAGCTAAGTTAGACACCGGGGTCTCCGGAGAATGGTCGGAAGCAGTTTGCAAACCTGAACGTATGGGATCCTTAAAAGAGGGGCCTAATCGGGGTATACACCTTGGTAATCAAACTCTGTCGTACTCCCTTAGGCCTCAGGTTCCCTCTCCCCCTTGAACTATTCTCCCTTCAAGATCCTATACAGTGAACCCCAGAAGGTTGGAAGATGGTGTCAAGATCATTGGTGCTGGGATTCCCAGCTATACTTGATATTAAGGGCACCCAGATAATGACGTTCTAACTTTCTAGCTTCTACTGTACTCAACCCAGCTTGGAATGCTTGAAGCTTGTTTGCACTCCACCCTAAACCTGAAACCCTAAACCCCTGAACCCTAAACCGTGTAAGAAAGAAAAGACTCGACTTACAACGCAGCAAGAACCCGAGACCTTAACCCTAAGCCATCAACCCCAAATGCCTTCAAGCCACTAAACTCCGAAGTGCCCTAAGCCCTAAACCCGAATAGCCCTAGACTCTAAACGCTCTTGGGGATTGAGGTTTGTTTTTTCGGGATTTTCAGACAAGGGTACTGTTTAAGTTCAAGCGATTGCTGGGAGACCCTTGACCCCCTAAAGACGAGCCCCAAAGCCTAAAGCCCTTGGATAGAATCCTAAACCACCCCCCCTAAACCCTAACCCCACCTAGACCCTAAACCAGACAATTGAGACTAGCACCACAACTCTCAACCTAATACCCTCTCAGCTTAGGAGGACCCTTAAGAGTCTATACGGGGAAAAGAGTAGGCATATAAGGATCCCAGGGTTAAGGGCCCATACAAGACGCCCGTGGTTTCAACCGTTGATACCTTTAAGCCCTTTGGACCCTAAACCCTCACTACATCCCCATGTCAAAAGACCTTGTAAGCTCAGAAAACCCACTCACCAAGCCCTTCTACAACCCCTACCTTTTCAAGGACTTGTACAAAGAAATCATATTAAGGAACCCTGAAAAGGTAGGTTTTTCAGGGTTAAGGTAAACCTTCAACCCTGAACTCAGGCTTCGTGGCTATGATTATCGCAGCCGGAGACCCGGGAGGGGGAAGGGGCTTGGCTTTAGGCCGTCCCCAGAGATCCCAATACCCCTTAACCTTAGATTGTAGGGGCCTTTATATTATGGTTCAAGGTAGATTCCTGAGTTACTCTAAGTATCTTAACTGGGAGTAGAAGTAGTCATAAGTATAGTTACCTTATTTATGACCACACTTAGTAAGTCCCATGATCCTCCAAGTAGACCATAAACCCTAAACCCTATAGATCCCTTTAAGGAACCCCTATAGATCCCCTTAAGTGGTTTAAGAGATTTTCCTTACGTAAGGGGTGTTGGGATCTCTGGGTCGAGAGCAAGGCTTCGTTGAGGGCTTTGGGCTTGGAGTTCAGGGTTTAGAGACTTTACCTGGATCCAAGGGTAAAAGGAGGGACCCTTAGTAAGGACCCCTAGGTATATACGCTTAATGTAGCTATAGTATACCCATTATATAGCCCATTATAGGGTAGGGGTCCCCATTAAGGGTCCCTCCTTTTCCCCTTTGACTGGAGTCTTCATTGTAGTTCCTTGTTTTGGTTAACCAGTTTTATGGTTAGGATCCTATAATCGAGATTTTGGGTAACCCACAAAAGGAACTACAATGGAGGCTATAGGTAGGGCGTCGAGTTGAAGGTTTAGTTGGGGGCAAGGTTGAGGCTGTTTGGTTTCATACAGGATGTAAAGCTTAGTTGAGGGCTTTTCGGTTTTTAAGTGTAGAGTTTCAAGTTTAGTTGAGGGTTTAGGGCTTAGGGTTGGGGGTTTTACTGTGTGCAGTTCAAGGTTTAGTTGAGGGCTCAAGGGTTTAAAGCGTAGTTGAGGGTCAGGGCTCAGGCTTGCCCTCGCGTGACACTTTCGCATAGGTTATGACGGCTACCCTGAACATATCAAACCTGTTTTTGTTCGGTAGTGCCCGCTTGAATGATACAACAGGAGATCCCGCAAAAAAGTAGGTAATGGCACTAAGGTACTGTAGCATAGATGTCTGCATAATTTGCAGCAGTTTTCCATTGTAGTTCCTGTGTAACTTTGCTATGCTGTACTCCCAAGCCGTATCTTACTGATTCAGGACCCTGTACAAAACCTTGAAAACCTCACAAATCCCTGTCACGGGAACCGTTTGCGATCCTATTCTAAGTATTGAAGCCCCGTTAGCATACTACCCTAAACCCTAAATCCTAGCATATTACTGTCATGCAAGGCATCGGTGGTCGGCACCTTCTTAATACAGTGCCGGAGAAGGCGGAACTCGGGAGACCGTTTTCGGGTGTTGGGGTTGGGGTTGAGGCTTTGGGCTCTACTTGGAGGACCATGGACCTTAGCAACGAGTGTAACAAGTATTTTAATTTCCGGGGGAACAAGTAATTAGAAGTCTAATAAAGTATAATGACCTTATGTCGAACCCTACTTACTAAGTCCCATGATCCTCCAAGCAGTACTGGGTTTTGAGGGTTTGCTTACAGGGTAGAAAGGCGAACCCCCCCCCATTGGGTGACGTATCTAGGCTTGCACAAAACGCCAAGAAGACTCAAAGCCAGTCCCAAAGCACCAGGAAGACTTAAACCCTAAACCGTTAAAGTGGGTAGCATGAGGAGGGCGACCCCTCAAAGGGTACCCCTTCCGAACCCTAGTTCTGGCTCTCGTAAAAGGGACCTTATTGAGAGGGTCTATATCCCCGAGGGTCCCCCTAATCCTAACCCCCATAAAGCACCGAGAAAATTGAAAGCAGCGAATGAGGCAGACATGGTCGTCAGCACTAAAACTGTTAGTTGAAAGGCTGTGTAAATTGTTTTTTGCACTGGCAGCTACGGTCGTGGCCCTGCAACGTCAGCTTGTGGTGTACTTCGGGCAGACGGACCTCCAGTAGACTGTGCAGGCACACTTCGTCCAGGAGGAGAACTTCGGCAACGGCTCGTGGGCGAGAGGAACAAGAAGCTTTTTGCAGATCCGATGGAGTATTACCCTAAACCCTAAACCCTATAAACCGTAAACCCTATAAACCCTCAACCCTAAACGGCCCTAAACCCAAAACCCTAAACCCTACAGGGCCCTAAACCCTAAACGACCCGAAACCCAAAACCCTAAACCCTAAACGGCCCTAAACCCAAAACCCTAAACGATAAACCCTATATACACTCTTATAGTAGCCCTTGTAGTAACCCTTATATAGTACCCTTACAGTAACCCTTTTAAAGGAACCCTAAGGTGATTCGGTTTTCGGCCGCAAAGCAGCGCAAGAAGGCGGCTGCACCGGAGCTGTCGGAGTTCCTCGGCCTCGACCTGGGAAGACCGAAGACCTGCAGCCCAGTCCTATAGGGGCCTAGAACCACCCAATGAGTGGGATCTATATATATATATATATATATATATATACATATATATATATATATATATATATATATATAAAGAGCCCTGATATCGACCCAGGTTTTCTCAATGAGGTTCCCACAGTACGTTAAGTTTTAGCTGTTCACAAGGGTCTGCGATGCCTAAATAAGTTACCTATACTATTTTGGGGTTCCCTAGTATAATTATGGTATAATGGGCCCCAAAACCCTATTCTAATTATTGAGGCCCCTATATTAGTGCCCTTGGCAGTTAGGGTAGCAAGTTCAAGGTTTAGGGGTTTACGGCTTTATACAACACCCTGTGGGGTCTGCTTGTTAACAGGTGCCCTTGAGTTTAAGCGGGTTACAGCGTAGCTTAAGTATACGGCGAAAAGGACGGGCCCTATATAATGGGTATGTAATAGCTATGTTAAGGGTATATACCTAAGGGTCCTTATTGAGGGTCCATCCTTTTACCCTTGGACTAAGCAAATGTTTAAAAAGTTCAGAAGAACCCCTTCAGGAGAACCCCATCATGGAACCGTGTAGTTCCTTTGAAGGGCTCCATTCCTGGACACGTTGGGGAAATTTATTCCATGGTTACATAGTACCCTTTAAGGAATCTAAGGAATTTTGTAGGAACCTGGTTAAGAAACCTTGGTTCTATAACCACCCAAATAGTGGGATCAATATACATATATATATATATATACACACACACTTTTAAGGAGCCCTGATATCGACCCAGAGTTTCCCAATGAGGTTCCCACAGTAGGTTAATTCACAAGGGTCTGCGATACCTTTATGAAACCCATGAAAGCTGCAACCATTAAAACTCCAGGACCGTAGCCGTAAACCCTGGGCCACACAAGAACTGCACCTAAAGACCCGAGACTCGAAACCCCAAAGCCCCAAACCCTTCACTTTGTCATAGTTGGGTAGCATTTTACATTTTTATGGGTACTAAAACCCAATGAGGAATAGAAACTTAGATTGTTAATCCTATGCCAACCATGAACTAGTTAACTAGTTCAGGCATGACAAGTCAGAACCAAACAGACCTTTTCGGGCATAAGACTTATATACCCAGACTATTCCTAAGGGTTCTTCAATAGAGCCCTTATGGCGAGCATCCTGGCAGGTAAAACGGGGCTGTTGAGATGGACACCTTCAAACCCCAAACCACAGCCCCTGAACCCCTAAACCCTCAACCCTACATCCTTGCGGCTGGGTCAGGTCGAAGGTGCATCCTGTACAGCCCGTCCAGTTCCCCCGGACGGGGCAGCTGCGAGGCAAGGGTCTGGTTTCTGTGTTCAGGGTCAAGATGAATGCAAGGCGTGGAGTTGTTCTAGCCCTAAGGGTCCAAAGGACCGAATAATCATGATAAGGTACTTAGGTTTCGGATAACAATAGTTATGCAGGTTACTATTTGGGAGAGTATATGATTGGTAGGAAGTCGGACCCTTAGGGTAGGGATCAGGTTCTAGGGTTTGGGGAGTTGCGGCTCTTTACAAGGCTGCTACCAAGGGATCTTCCCTCCTGCTCGATCTTTGTAAGGGCTGTTGCAGCATTTTCTAAGCTGAGGAGGTAACCTTGGACCTTTTTGGGGATTGTATATACGGGAGTTTCCGAAAACAGGGGGCCCTAAGATAGTACCCTAAATAGTAGGATCCTGGTTATAAGGGCCCTAAAATAAGGTACCCCCTAATTTTCGGAAACTCCCATACCCCTACCATAGTTGCAAAGGTTAACCTTTTGGGCTTCCGTACTCAGCCACGAAGACAGGCTACTAGACGGTTTCAATAGGGGTTGAGCGTTGGCGGACTACCAAGCCCTACCTTAACCCCAAGTAACCTACCTTGTTATGGACTTATATGAAGAAATCATATTAGGGAACCCTAAAAAAGTAGGTTAATTAGGGTCCAGGTAAACCTTGAAACCCCAACCTTCCACCCTACGGCTTGAACCAAGGTTGAGGGCTTTAGGAGAGGACCTTGGGGTTTACTGTTTATCAAAGGGGAAAAGGAGGCACCCTTAATGGGGACCCTACCCTATAATGGGCTATATAATGGGTATATAACAGCTATATTAAGGGTATATACCTAGGGGTCCTTATTAAGGGTCCCTCCTTTTACCCTTGGATGTTTAGGGAAGTGTTAAGGATTTTGGAGCCTGGTTCGCCTGATGCAAGGCAAACGGCACCTATGTTTACGTGTTTCGTGGGGGGGTTGAGGGGTTTGGCATTCGTAGATTCCATCATGGTTATGAATTACCCCCCCCTTTGTATCAGTTGATAGTTTTATTCTGAGTGCCAACCATTGAGATCCATGGCTGAGTGGCTGGACGATAATACCCAAAGGCTTTTCAAAATCGCAAACAACCGCACGGGATCAATAAAGGGAAGCAGAATAGCTTGACTTGAACAGGCCTGTTTAAGCAAGGATCATGGGACGTAGTAAGTGGGGTTATAGATACGGCAACTATACTTATAAGTACTTATAACCCCAATTACGGTACTTATAACCTTACTTACTAAGTCCCATGATCCTCCAAGTAGCCTTTACATGTCCAGTGGAGTCTGATAACCCTTGCCGGGAGGTGCTGCTTCTGCTACAGACGAGGTGGCTGTCGACTCCCCGAACCTTCCAATATCCCTCAACTACGGAATGTACCTGAAGCTGATACGCCTAAACCCTAATATACAATATAGTCCTTTACTAACCTTAAATTATAGTGGGATCCCTAAACATCCCTAATATGTTCCTTCATTGTGTCATTGAGGGATCTTGGAAGTTTTTTTTTGTGTGGTCGGGGTCGGTAGGTCTTTGCTGCAGCTGGGGGCTTTGGTTTAATGTCGGGCTTACGGTTTAGGCGTCTAAGAGGCTTATGGGGTTCAGGGTTGAGGGTTTTGGGCTTAGGGTTTAGGCTTTGGGGAGTTATGAGGTGATCGGGGGTTAGGGTTTAAGTTTTAGGGGTCAGGTTTTCGGGGTTCATAAGGGCGTGTAGCGAGGTGTATGATTCTTTTTGTCAGGTTGCAAAGTGTTTCTAAGGGATTCGCAACAGTATTGCAGATTTTCAGGGGGGGTCTACTGTGCATCTCATACCTATAGTCTACGGTTTAAGGTTTAGGGTTAGTCTCCATCGTAGTTCCTTTTTTGGTTAACCAGTTGTATGGGTAGGATCCTATACTATAAATTTGGTTAACCATAAAAGGATCTGCAATGGAGAGGACCCAGTGATTAGGTACTTGGGTCTGGGATAGTAGTTGTGTAGCTCGATATTTATGAGGAGAGTGTATGATTATTAGGAAACCCTAAACCCTAAAAACCTACACCCTAAGCCGTAAACCCTCGACTCCCAGGGTAGGTAACCTGAGAATCACCGCCGCCTCCGCTCCCCGACATCCCGCAGACCTTTAGGAAGGTTGTTTGGTTTAGGATTTGGGGTTTAGGGTTTAGGAAAGTTTAGGGTTTTGGGGTTTTGGGGTTTAGGGTTTTGGGGTTTATGGTTTTAAGGTTTAGGGTTTAGGGGTTTAGGGTTTTGGGGGTTTAGGGTTTTGGGGTTTAGGGTTTTGGGGTTTAGGGTTTGGGGGTTTTGGGTTTGGGGTTTTGGGGGTTTACGGTTTTGGGGTTTGGGGTTAACCAGATCTCCCGAGTACCCGTTTAAACGGCTTCAGTATTTCCCATTAAGAGGTATTGGGGGGGGCTAGAATAAAGGGTCGTAGGGGGGTATAGGAAACCCTTAACCCTAAACCCTAAACAGTTTCACGCAATATCATGTTACACATCACTGATCCGGGAAGCCAAGGTGGAATAGAAAGGATCGATATGCTGGGTCCCATACTTCTCAGAGCGATCAAGGTGATCACAACCTGTTCTGTCATGCAAGTTTGGGGTCTTGGCGAGTGTGGTTTTGGGTTGAGGGTGCGGGGCGAGGGGTTCCGCAATTTTCTGAAACTTTCGCAAACCATACTGGCCGCAACCCAACCGATAAGGGAAGAAACGCACCAAACCACTCAAACGCGGCAGTAAGTGGGAACAACAAGAAAGCGAAGCTGTCTTATTAATGGAAGACATCAAAACCCTAAACCCTATAAACTCTAATAGATAGCTGCAGCAACTTGACTTGCCATCGAAGGCGGGCTGGGCCTAAGCTGCAGCGCCGTGCCCGCAACGGCGCGGGGATTCCAAGCAGTTCTCGACGTCCAGACTCGGCTTGAGGGTTTTGCCCGAGGGCCCAGACCTTCCAAAATCCCTTAATTAAGGAATATACCTTAATTCATATAAGGGATCCTACTATAAATTAATGTATATTCCTTAATTAAGGGTTTTTGGAAGGTCTGGGGGTGACCTCAAAAACTTGGCTAACTTAGATCAGACAAGGCTACAGTACAATGGTGGCCTATTCTATAGGGGTAGCGTTCGGTGGTCGCTGAAACGGCTGAGGGTTGGAAACCTAAACCTGAAGCCGCCTTAAGCCTGTAAGATACTGCGCTCAAGTTTGTGTATCATCCCCTGCCGACGTGTCTTTTGCATGTACGTCTGTGTATCTAGGAGCTAGAAGTGTAGGGAGTAGATGATGAGAACTGGCATCCGAAACCTTGCGATTTCAGCGCGACATGGTGCTATAAAGTGCGAGTTGAGCTCCGTTCCAGGTTTTTTCGAGTTTAGCCTTCAGCTTTTGTTTTGGGGTTTTTGGGGCAGTGCCAAGGGTTTCAGGTTTCTGTTTGTTCCGCATGCTTTAGTGGCTCGATGTGCTTGGGTTTGACACGTTGGTCAACACCACATACGTAACACAAACCGAAACCCGAACCCCATGGCCGTAACCCTAGGGGTCCAAGTCCCGCATCATCATATACTTTCCCTAAATATCGAGCTACACAACTACTATCTTTAACCCAAGTACCTAGTTATTGGGTCCTTTGGACCCTTAGGGTAGTTACCCCAAAGCACGCCTCGAGGCACAGCATTCCCACGAGTTCATGGAGAAGCCGCTGCACCTGGGAGTGGCAGAGGCCTGACATCGGGTTGGGAGCCAGGGGTGTAGCATGCTTGGAGGGTCGGGGGACTTAGGGCTCCTTTAAAAGGGATTCTAAGGGTTCCTTTAAAGAGATCTATAGGGGTACTATAGAGTTTAGGGTTCAGGGACTTAGTAAGTAGGTAGTAAGTAGACTTATAAGTACCCTAAAAGGGACCCTAATTGGGGTTATGGTACTTATAAGTCCCTAAAATAACCAGTTACTAAGTCCCCCGACCCTCCAAGTAAACCCTGAACCGTGTCATACAGGGCTTAGTCTAGACAGGGTTTGCACAAGCTTGATGACGGGTCTGAAGAAGTTCTTTTTTATACGGTGCTGCAAAGGTTGCTTTTCCCCAGGGCTTCATAAGGGCTTGATACTGATTGTGACGATAAAATAGAAGACTCCAAAACCCTGTTCTAATTGTCAAAGGCCGGTATATGACGGCGTTCCTTGTTGCTTCACTACTCTTGTGGCTAATTAATCTCCTTGGACAAGGAAACCAGGTAGCAAGAACAGAAAAGACAACATCAGTTAGGCAGGGCCCAAGAACAGCTAACAGGCAGAACCACACACAAGTGACCTACTATTGCGCGGATGAAAGTAGGGACGTTTGCAAGCACTCTGTTGTTCCAATTTTTCGGTAGAACGAAGGAACTAGAAAAGCACCCACAAATAAGCTTTTGGGGGCGGTGTCCTAGCCTTTATTGGTTTACTTAGAAGGGTGGTGATGGGGTATCCCAACCTTATAGTTTTGTTTAGGTGTTTTTGGTTCACATGAGAACACATGCCAGCTTTCTAACTACTTTAATTAGGGAATAACCCTAAACCCTAAACCCGACTAAACCCTATAACACATGACAACCTTCAACACGGTACTACGAGTATTCCTTGCTTAAGCTTACGGAAGTAGTCCCTAAGGGTCCTTGTGCCCGAATAGTAGATACTTTGGCCCCAAGGTACCCTAAATAGGGATTATTCTAAGGCCGAAGGATATATTCTTTGGTTACCTGGACCCTTGAACCCTACAGAACCCCTGAAAGGAACCCTGAAAGGAACCCCTTAAAGGGGTACATGGACCCGTCGGGAGTCTTAACCGCGCCGGTGATCCGAGCTTCAAAGGCCCAAAAGCTAAAGCTACCCCTACTAAATTCCAAGACCTTGCCCCTTGTTTTTCAGGCCCAAAAAGCACATAAGCATAAGCATTTTATAGGGATATCCCTATCATATTGGGCTTCTTTATAAGGGGTTTAGATGGGAAATCCCTATCTTATGTTTTGCTTATGTGCTTTCTTGGGGCCCTATTTTTGTGTTTGTGAAGTGGGGCGGCGACGAGGGGACGGGGGGTAGTTACGGTTTAGGGTGTATTGTTTGTTTGTGAGACTTGTGTTGCGAGGAGGGGGTGTCGGAAACTAACCTTGAAAGCAACCCATATCCCTGGGCCCTAGATTTCGGCGAAGGCGAAGGCGAAAGCGGGGGTGCATTGCCAGAAATTCGGGCGTACCCTGAAAGGCGTACAAGCCTTTCGTCCACACGAAGGCAGCCAGAAATGCGTTGATGCTGCAGATCGTGGCAAGAACCGCCGATGAGAGCCCCGAGAAACGCGATCGGGCAAACGACCCCGACAACTTGGAATGAGGGCGCACGGCCCAGTAAGAAGACGGAAGTCCCTAAACCCTAAACCCTAAACCCTCTTGATGCTGCAGTTCATGGCCCGGCGGAGACCAGCAGCCGCCGTGCCTGTCCAGGAGATGCTGCGGCAACAGAACGAGATGTTATTCCCATTTTTGTAGCTCCTAGGGTTTAGGGTGTTAGGTTTAGGGGTTTAGGGTTTAGGGTTAGCTTCTAGGATGCTCAGTAGTACCCTTATTCCCATTTTTGTAGCTCCTAGGTTCCTTATCAAGTTACCCAATACCAAAAAGGGAGCACTTTTTTCCTATTCCTAGGTTACTGGGCATCCTAGAAGGACTGGTTTCCCCCCAACCCGAAACTCTGCGAACCCTATAATCTCTATAAGCCCTAAAAACCCTATAAGCCCCGTCAGCCCTATAACCACTATAAGCCCTCTAAACCCCATAAGCCTTTTAAACCCTGTAAGCCCCATGAATGCTTTAAGCCCCTATAAGCCTCATAAACCCTTTGGGCCCTATAAGCCCCGTAAAGCCGTGTCAGCCCTATAAACCCTATAAGCCCCATGTGCCGTTTAAACCCTCTAGACTCTAAGCCCGAAACACCAAACCCGAAACCCTAGAAACCTTTGTAATAAGCCCTAACCCTAAATCCTGAAACCCTAAACCCTAAAGCCCAAACCCTAGTCCTAGAGGGTGATGCGGCTAGTACCTCCTCGTGAAGCTTGATTTGGATGTGGGCTTACCGTTGCTCGAGGGTGCGATTCTCCGCACGATGGGTTGAGTGAGGGTTTTTGCCTGGGACCGACACGTGGCCCGGCTCTCCTGACCCCCAGGGTCTTTCGCTGACGGATGCTTAGGCGGAAAAAGGAGTTCAAAAAAAAAAAAACCCTAGTCCTACTATGACCTTAGAAGCCCTACAAGCCCTATTAAATAAGGAGCTAAAGAGCCAAGGGAACCCCCGAAACCACAGGTTAGTTTATAATAAGCCCTACTATAACCTTAGAAGACCTACAAGCCCGAAGCCCTGTGCGAGAGGACAACAGAGCGGCTCGCTGAAACAGCGAAGCCCAGAGCTCTCTGCGCAGTTTCGGGTTTGTCAGGGTTCAGCGCTCTTAGGGGCGGTTTAGGGTTTAGGGTTCAGGGTTTGAGGTTTAGGGTTTAGGGTTCGATGGGGGCTTGTAGGGCCCATAGTGGTCCCAGTAGCTGAGTGGATACACTTTACGCTCTTTGGGATAATGGTACCACTATAAAACTGAAAGTGTACACTTGTTGGGGCTTATGAACTCAGCAACTATGATATTGGGCTTAGGGTTTAAGGGCTTACAGGCTTACAGGGTTTATAGGGTGTAGGGATCTTGGTTACTTTAGGGTTTAGGGTTTGCAGGGTTTCTGGCGGTTTTAGTGTTTCTGGTGGTTGCAGGTTTTAGTAAGGATTCAGTGGTTCTAGGGTTTGGTGACTTAAGGTTTTAAAGTTCACAGGGCTGCAAGACTGTCAGGGTTAGGGTTCTATTTTATACCTAGAGGTCTTCTTTGGCGTCCTTCTAAAATCGTCAGGTTTTAGGGTTTCGGCGTTTGGGGGCTCAGGGTTTAAGTTTAAGGTTTAGGGGGGGGGGGCGAGGGTTCAGGGTTTAGGGATAGGTAGAAGAAGGTTTTGAGGTATGATAGAGTATGAAGTTTGATAAGGGACCCTGCAAAGGAATGCTTCGGCAGGTTTTTCAGTACTTCAAAGAAGCTTAAAAGCTAGCATAAGTTTTTTGGGTGGGTGACATATAGTATAGTACGGTTATAATGGTAAGGCGCTCTAAGGAATTATATTTTGCTGATGTTTCAGGCGTCGGTGTTAGGATTAGTTGAGAACTAGGGCTGAGGGTTTTGGCTTTTGTGTTCAAGGTTTTCTTGCAGCCTCAAACCCCACGCAAGAATGAGTTATAGCCTCTTGATAGCTTAGCATTACTTGGAAACGACTATAGAAACGTTTCGATTTGTGAGTCTTGCCAGGCTGCCAAGTTCAGTATAGTTAGGGTTCAGGGGGTTTGGGAGTTGTTTAAGGTTTGGCGGGGGTTCAGGGTTTAGGGTTTACCCCTGAATAACCTACCTTCTTAGGGTTCCTTATTATGAACTCTTTATGTAAGTCCTGAAAAGTGTAGGTGATTCCGGGTAAAGGTAGGGGTTGGGGCGGCTTTGGGTCTGGAGCTGTGCCTGAACCCCACGGCCTGAGCCTGAAGCCTTCAACTAGGATGAGGTTGCGGTTTACTTGAAGGGTCATGGGACTTAGTAAGTGGGGTTATAAATAAGGGAGCTATACTTACAACTACTTATAACCCCACTTTAGGTACTTATAACCTTACTTACTAAGTCCCATGATCCTCCAAGTAGGGTTCAGGGTTTAGGGTTTAGGGCGGCGTGGTTCAAGAGCTCAGGGTTTTTGGTGCAGTCAACACTGAGGTTTTGGCGTGGAAGTGTTGAGCGTGTGACTAAAAGCTGCCCACCTCAGACGGGCTCCG